ATAGACATTCCATGATCTCTTGACCCAGCCTGCAAGTTAGGTATCAACAGGTACCTGACAATCACCCATACAGGGACACCCACTGCTGGCAGCAGGAGGGAGTCAGCACAGGGACAGAAGCCTCCTTAACCTCCCGAAATCCTCATTGCCCAACACTCTCATTGGTCCAGGCCATCACCTCTTCCTTGGATGACAGCCTCCCAATTCTTGTTGCTTTCTTTCTCTCTCTCTCTCTCCCCCCAATCTAAACATCCAAATGGCTTCCCAATGCCCTTGGAATGAAATACAAATTCTTCCTCTAATATCCTGCCTCATGCAACCCCTGCTGTTGTCTCCAAGACTGACCTCTTCTGCGTACTTCCTGCTCTTGACCTAATTGATGCGTTCCTGTCCTTCAACTCCCTTCTGGACACAAAGTGTGGATACGAGCATATGGGATTGTATAATCAAGGAGAAACCTGTGCCAGGATACACTCCAGCATGTGCAAAATGAAAGGCATATGAGAATGTGAGATGAAAAAATAGGCTGAAATTTGACTAGTGATAGTCCAGTAAAGCTCTCCGCAACCATCTGGCTTCGCCAGGGTGCCAGTTTGAAAGACACTGTCCATTTCACCTGCTAGCAGGTTATTATGACTAAACAATCCTATTCCCGTCTATAAAACTGCACACTTCCTGAGCAGTAGCGTGTATTACCAGACCTGTTTGTGCCACTTGTACTTAATAACTTAATCCTATCAAACTAATGAAAGACTGATCCATGAGTTATTTATTTGCAAACCAGGCTGCCTACATTGGAAAGAATAAAAATGAGGTGTTTAAAAGTTTGGCAGCTTAAATAGGCTGCTGAATCAGTTGCAAGAAAAGCAACTTTAGGGCCTCCCAGGTGGCGCAGCAGTTGAGCGCTGGGTTGCGAAGCTGCCCGCGGCTGAGGCGCCGGTTCAATCCCCGGCTGCTCCCCGGCCACCAGAGGAGGGTCCCACATGGCGCGCAGACCTCTCCTGCCGCCCGCTGCTCCCCTCAGCAGTGTCCTTTGGTCCTTCTGCCTGCTGTGCTCCCCGCTCTGGCTCTGGTGAATTCTCTCACCCTCCCGCGCTTCTGACTGTACCCAGTGCATGTATAAACAAACAAACTAAATAAATAAATAAATAAAAAACATGCCTCTAAAAAAAAAAAAAAAGAACACAATCATTAAAAAAAAAGAAAAGCAACTTTAGTAAATGACTGAAAACTCCAGAAAAATCCAAGAAGAGTCAACCTTCCCTTTGCTCAGTATATGCCTTTGTGTTCTCAAGTCACTTAAAACAACAATCACTAGGAAGCATGGATGACTCATGGCGTATGGGTATAGTTTATGCAGGAATGTTCAGTTACATACCTGGGGACAAATACTTACAGGAAGGGCTTGGTCCTACTTACAAGAGGTGGATGGCTGTGCACATGTTCTTGGTTAAGAGAAAACAGTTACCGTGTTTAGATTCACCAGTGTGATCTGCTGTACACCCTAACTCCGTCTGCCCAGCATTTCACAAGATCGCACACCTGTCCCATCAGGGTCTAGTGGGATCAAGTGATTCATTCTACTGAATGAGATAGAAGCAAAAATGATGGGTGGGGGGCCTCCCTGGTGGCGCAGGGGTTAAGTCTCAGCACTATCAAGCTGTCTGCAGCCACTGCAGCACGGGTTCGATCCCCGGCCAGGGAGTTGACCCACATGGCGCAGGAGACCTCTCCTGTCTCCCCGCTGCTCCCCTCAGCAGTGAATTTCACTCGATCTGCCTGTTCTATTCCCTACTCTGTCTCTGGTGAATCCTCTCACCCCCTGCACCTCTGGCCTGCACTTCAGTTCTACACAAAAATAAATATTTAAAAACAAACAAACAAAACATCAGAGGCAGGAGGAGTGAACAACTCACCTTTCTGTCCCTTCTGCCCAAGGCCTGCCCCAGTCATTAACAGGGGAGCAGGACCCCCCACATACTCATCACCAAAGCGCCGCCCATCTGCCTCTTGGCCACTTCCTGCACTCCAGTGCACACTGCTCCAAAAGTTCCCAGACTATAAAAACACAGACCTCCCTGACCCCAGGCCCAGGGGCAAGATGCACAGGGATGGCCATGTTCTGCTAGCCTCTGGCCATACAGTGTGATCCCCCACCCCCCACCTCAGTGAATTGGTGAGAAACCAGTCAATACCATTGTTGGCTTGCCAGATGCTTTTTTGGAGGGGTCAACTGGACAGTTCTGCCGTAGTTTAAAATGGGCACCACAAGCCTCCCCGGTGGCGCAGCGGTTGAGCACTGGGTTGCGAAGCTGCCCGCGGCCTCTGTGGCGCCGGTTTGATCCCCGGCTGCTCCCCGGCCACCGGAGGAGGGTCCCACATGGCGTGCAGACCTCTCCTGCCGCCCGCTGCTCCCCTCAGCAGTGTACTTCGGTCCTTCTGCCTGCTCTGCTCCCCGCTCTGGCTCTGGTGAATTCTCTCACCCTCCCATGCTTCTGACTGTACCCAGCGCATGTAAAAACAAAACAAACAAATAAAATAAATAAATAAAACATGCCTCTATAAAAAAAAAAAAAATAAAAAAATAAAATGGGCACCACAAAAGGTCAGAAACATCCTACCTGGCATCCCTAACCAGGACGAGGATTGAGTAAGAAAACGGCATTCACATGTGAGAATACTAGGCAGCCACCAAAAAGAACCTGGAGCAGAGCGCAAGGTAAGTGGTCAGATGGAAAAAGTCATGTACAGAATAAAGCAGGCTGAGAAAGTTGTAGTGATCTGCTGTACAACATGGTGCTTATAATTAGAAATACTCTATGGTACACTTCAATAGAAGACGGAAGAGCTCACGAAATGTTCCCACCATACACGCGCACACTCACGCATGCGTGCACACGCGTGGGACCTCAGGGAACTCTAGGGGGTGATGTCTGCTACCTACCTTGTTTGCAGTGATGCTCTTAGGGGTGCATGTCTGTGTCCAGACTCATCCCCTTGTATACGTGAAGAAACATGCAGCTTTTTGTGTGTCTATGGTACCTCAACAAAGCTGCTTCAAAAAACACTTCCACTGGGTAGAAGAGGCAGAAAATGCAGGCCTTTCTGTCAGCTTGTCTCTGCTTCAGAGGGGGTAGGACAGCCTCTGCCCTGGCTTGACCTGGGAACCTCTGGAGTGTGAAGGTTTCCTGTCTGCAACAAAATGCTTCAGAAGAGTCAGGTGAATGAAAATGAAATGGGCATGCTCGGTTTTGAAAATTTAATGGTAGGGATGCACGCACAAGTCAGGGGAAGATCTGTCTGTCCGTCTGTCCATCCACGTGCACACACAAGCACACACACACACACACCCTCTGCAATGTCTTCGGTGCCGGTGACCAGCCCCCCAGGCAGGGGCAAGCAGCCCCGTGCCCCCCTCCTGCTCTTGCTCTCTCTGCTTCACAGCTGTGGGGACCAGTGACTTCCAACGAGCAGAACGTGGCAAAAGCGACAGTCTGGGCTGCCTCTACCACGACGGGGCCACAAGGGGGCATCTTTGGGCTCCATCTCGGGGTCCCGCTCTCCTGTCTGGGGAAGCTGGCCCATGGGGAGCTGCCCAGCAGAGCAACCTCCCCGGGAGGAACTGAGGCATCAGGGAGGGAGCGGCACAGCCAGCCCAGGCCGAAGGCTGCCCAGGACTGTGAGGCAGGAGGGTGTGCTGAGCCCCTGCCTGGTGGGCCTCGTGTGGGCCAGGGAGCTTCTGTAGCCTGAGCTTCGTGGAACCTGACAGAACCTCTTTAGTGGACAGCCCCGGGGGACGAGGGCCATGCCAGCCACCGTGGGCAGGTGGCCATGCTCAACTGACACACAGACTGACCTCACTGTGAAGCAAAAACACGCCCAGATGCGTGCCCAAGCCAACGCCAGCAGCCGTCTTGGGGCGCATGGGGGTGCTTCCCCCTCCTGCCACACGCTTCGGCCACCTGCCTCGCCTCTAGCGACCGTAATGGGCGCGAACCCAGTAAGTCATGATTAATCTTCCAAGAGCCCAAGATGGAAACAGGGAGCAGCGAGTCTTGCTCGCCCGGAGACGAGCACCCACTCGAGGGCTTTCCTCAGACTTTTCTTTAGAGGTGGCGGGCGAGTGTTGGCCTCCACCCCACACAGCTCTCAACTACGCACGTGTGGGTGCTGCGGGATTTCTGCCTTCGCCTCCCCACACGCCCCGTTGTTTTGGGAGAATTCTCCTGCCATCTTCCCGCCTTTGCTCCTAGCGGGCCGGTCAGAAATGCAGGCTCCGCACCGGCCACAGCCCAAGGCCCGCCAGGCGGTGTTTGCCGGCTGGCTATGTTGTTAGAGGCAGTTTTGCCCTGAGTGGCAGCAGCGGCCGAGGGCGGCTGCCGAGCGAGCCTGCCAGTGCGGCCCTATGGGCTCCTGCCTCTCCCTACCCCGCATCCCGGCCCTCCCTCCCTGACCTGACTGGGGGAGATGCAGCTTGCGGGACCTGCCCAAGGCCAGGAGCTCAGGGCGCGGGAGCAGGGGTGACGCCTGTGCTGGGAGGGGGTGGCTCTCCTCAGAGGGGCGCATCAGGCACGGACGCCTACTGTCTAGGCTGCACCCCGGGGAGGCCCATGTCCAGAGCTTTCTTAACCTAACCTGCAGGCTTCCTCCGGCCCCCGCCTGTGCGCCTCTAACCCGCCACCGGCCCTGCGCTTCATCTAACGGGGTGTTAAGGTCAAGAGGGCAGCATCGGCCCGCCCCAGCCAGGCCAGCAGCCAGCACCGGTACGTGTCCCCGGCCCAAACCTGTTTCCTGCAGGGAGCTGTCTGCCCGACGCCAACAGTACTGGCTGGCTCTGCTCATCTTCCGCCCCCTTCAGCAGCTTCCGACAGTCGATCACTCTCTGGACAACTCTCTCAGCTTCCAGAGCACCACACGGGGCCTCCTGGCCTCTGGCTCCCTGCCCCACCCTTCCACGTGGGTCTTTCTCAGGGCTGTCCTTGTCCTCGTGTCTTCTCCTTCTTCCAGAGGTCGCAAGATGGCGGTCCGGGGGCCTCATGAGACCCACAAGCAGATTTTGTTTGGTCCTCACAGTGTGTTTTGGTGGTAATTTGAATGCCATTGCGCGGGGCAAGCGCTCTCCAAGTTCGCCACAGTCCCCATCATGCCCTGACGTCTTACACCCGTCCGTGTCACGCATTTCCATCACCTGCCTGGTCCCTGAAGTCATCTGAGTTTTGAAAAACTCCTGCTAAACGCCTGCCTGGGACACCTCACCCATTTGCTCTCACTTCCTCCACCGCCACCAGCTCCGTTTTTCATCATTTTCACGACAATCACCGCCGGGCGTGTAGAAAACGCCCATCCCCAGCCACCCTCCTTTTCCTGTCGACAGCTGGAGGGCAGGGCCGGCAAACTCAAATGCCTACAGGAGCCAGGCGGGTCACACAAATGGGTGAAGGAGCCAGGTATAAGAAAAGTCGAGGGCCAGAGATATCATCAAATTGCATCTTTACTGAACTACAGTGAATGCACGGAACAGAATACAAACAGGTAGGATACTGGCGTTTATATTTCAAAGTCAAAATTGAAAAAATACAAATTGAAAAATAGAAATATTTAATTATTAAAATTTTTCTCTTTTGGAATTCTTTCCGCTCCTCTGCCTTCAGGCCGGAAGGCTGACGCCCACCCTTCTGGTGCGGAGATGCCAACGTCACCCCCGCCCCGGCGGGGCACGGTGGGATGTGCCCTTAGAATCTGACCTCGCCTCCGGCACCGGCACCGGGAGCGGGATTGAATTTGATTCAGTTTTGTAACGGAAAACAGCTGTTCACAGGCGCGGGGCCTCCCAACACGGGGGTTCAGGACAACTGCTGAGGCAACTCAGGGTTCTGCGCTCCCAGCAGAATCACGCTGGGGACCCAGCCCCCTATTGCACTGGAGTTCAGAAACTGCTGTTTGTGGTCTGCATTCACGTGGTTGACGTGGACCCGCTGGGGCCGACGGGACAGTGTTAGTTCATGTTCACAGTCTGGCTGGAGGAAGCCTTTGGGGGTGGGGGAACACGGTCCTTCACCCCACAATCTGGGGGAAATCAGTTCGTGTTGCAGCAAGGAAAGGGAATCCGGGTGCTCCTCACCCATGGCTCCCCCACTTTTGTCCAATAGGATCATACATTCAAGTAGCTGTTTGTGAAAGTCTTTGCAGAAAAATGAGTGTTCAGAAGGGTCACCACCTTGACCGAGGCTCTGACTGACCTACGCGGGGGAGCCCAGGGGGGGTTTTCACTCACGCGCAATGAACCGGGAGCCTGATGTCAGCGGAATTCTTCCACCCCATCCCGGGACATGCAGGCCAGACACTGGTCAGCTACCCGGGGCCAGGGGTCCAGGTCACCGTCAACCGCGGAGGCTGAAGGGCAGGGGCGTGTGCTGGGTGTTTCTGGGGGCCTCCATTTCATTTCCTTGCTCCGCTAAATTCCTGGGGAGGGACTGGGCGAGCCGACCTCTCCTCGCCCCGGGGCTGCGGCCTTGGCTGTGGTGCTGACCCGCTCACGGTTCTCCTGCTGCGTGAGGTGCCTCCTCCCCCGGGGTGACCTGCCCCGGCCTCAGCCCCGCCTCCCAGGCTTCCTCAGTCACATCAAACGTCTCACAGCACAAATAAATAAAGCTAACCGGGCGGCGACAGGTCACAAGCAGCGAGAAAAGGCCACGAAGGATTCGACTCTTTCAAGCAACCGGGAAACTCCATTTCTCTTGGCCCCCGCCTGGGACGCGAAGGCCGGGAGCCCGAAGTCACGGTCTAAGAGGCGTTTTTGCTCAGGGCGTGTCTTTCCTCTCCTTTCTAAACTCGCCGTCCATAGGTTTCTAATGCCCAGAAACTTCCTCCCGCGTCTCTCCGGAAGGGCGAGCCTCCCCTACTGACACTTGAGCCCCTTCTTCAGCTCGCTGAGGATGGCGTCCCGCGTCTGCTCCGTGTACTGGTCGTAGCTCTTGCTGTGCTTGGACTCATAGTGGCGCCTCAGGTTGTACTCTTTCAGCACAGACACGATTTTTTTGCATATGAGACACGTGGGCAGGCTCTTCACTTCCACAAAGAAGTAGGCTCGCTCCCACTTCTCTCGAAACGCGCTGCCCTCTCGTTCTCGCTTTCGTTTTGCCACTTGTGATAGAGACATGGGTACAAGACAGGTTTCACTTTCCTCTGAACGCTGCCCCAGGGACCACCACAGTGCAAGCCCGGGGACCGAGGCCATGGCCCTCCGCCGCACGGTGGGGGAGCAGGAGGGAGTGGTGGGGACTGTGGCGAACCAGAGAGCACATGCCCCAAGCAAAGGGGCAGCTCCAGCCCGCTGTTGCTAGGCAGAAGGGCGGCCCAGGGGTGCCAGATCTTCTGACTTGTCAAGAGGAACCAAGACTGCAGATTGTGTGTGGTTGTGTGTGTGTGAATTATCCTGATGTTTACAACTAACTCGGTGGAAGAGAAATGCCACGTTATGCTAACACGGGGAAGGCCAAACAAAACTCATCTGCAGAGTGGCCCACGGGCCACCAGGTTGCAACCTCTCTCCAGGGACAGGGCCCGGGAATCTAACGTCGACCAGCGACCCAAACGGCGAGGTGCTGGCGGTCCAGGTGTGGACCACGCTCTGACAACTGCCTCTCGCCTCTGGCGGGACGGCTCCCGCCTCCGGAGCCTGCTGCCCCTGCACGCCGAGGCCGTCCTCCAGGGCGCTGACCTCACATCTCCTACCTGTTCGCTGCCAGCGCTGTCCTCTCCACCCTCGGAAGGCGGGTCTCCGGGGGGGACCCCGGCCTGCCCTCTCCAGTCTCATCTACTCCTGCGGCGTCCACCACCCACTGCGCACCGCGCCTGACACGTTCTGAGCTCCGCTGCGGCGCCCGCGGGTGGACGGACCTTAGCGCCATGACCGGCTCCTCCTCTAGCCAGACCCCAGGGCTGGCCTATACCCCAAGTCCTTTGCGTGGTGTGCGGCCCCCAGCTCACCCCTCCTGTCCTCTGGTCTCTCCTCTCCCCGCTCCGCCCTGCCTCTCGCCTCGCCCCCTTGTACCCGCAGACCAGCGGGGTTTGACACTAAGTCAACCCGGGTCTACCCCCTGACCTTGGCTTCCTGCATCCCCGGGACAGACCTGCAGCTGCTCGGAGCCCCCTCTCGAGAGCCCCCACTCACGCTCATGCTCTGGAAGCATCGCTCCCTTGCGCTCCGCCCCACCCGAGCTCCCCACCTGCCAGCCGCCTACCTCCCTGCCTAGACCGCACCTCACCCCCTCCTCCCCACCTCCCTGGCTCCCGCTGCTCTCCCAAGACTCTGCTGAGCCCAGCTGGGTCAGCGGCCGATTCCGGGCTCGCTCGGCACCCCCGCCTCCGTGAGAGCGCGTGGTCCCACGAGCGCTGCCTGCCTGCCTCCACGGCGCCCCCCGGAGAGAGGCCGATGCCGTGGCGCCACCAGCCCGGGGTCTCGGGGGCTGTGCTGAAGCCCGAGCCAGGGCAGAGGTGGACCCCGGTCTCCTGCCCAGGCCTGGGGGACGTCAGTGACGGGAGCCGGGGCGTGTGTTAAAAGGAACTTTATTGGGTGTCGGGGTTTCAGATGAGGTCCATGAGGATGTCGTCCTCCATGACGCTGGGCTGCAGGCCCGGCTGGGGGACCGGGCCCCGGGGACCCCCGTTCAGCAGCATCTGACCTGGGGGGCAGTGGGGAAGGGACTGCATCTCCCAGTAGTCCCTGGGGCCCGGCTGGGCCCTGGGCTGCTTCCTCCCTCCTCCTCTGGGGCCCGACGCACCGTGTTCTCGATGTCACGGGGACATCAGAGGCGCCTTCCGACCCCTTCTGGCCACGCACCGGGTCTCCCGGGACTCTCTGGGAGCCCACCCGCCTCAAATCGCCTCTCTGGCCCTAGGACTATGTTCCCCAACAACCCCGCGAGAACACACAGAAGGGGAACGGTGGAAAGAGACCTCACCCTCCTAAGGCCTCGGTCCTCTGGGATGTATTCCCAGGAGCCCTCGGACGCCCCCATCAGCCCTCGGGGACCCGCTCTTCTGGAATCCCAGAACCTCGTTTCCCAGGAGCCCTGAGTCTGGGGGACACTAGTCCAGACCCCTGCCCTCCCCAGGGACCCCCTTACCTGGCAGCGGCGCCCGTGGGGGAAGCTGAGCAGGCCAAGGCTGGGTGGGCGGCGGGTGCAGGAGGGGAGGCCCCAGCTGCGGCTGCCCCAGGCCCTGGTGCGGTGGGGGTAGCAGGGCAGGGGCCCCTGGTGGCTGCAAGTGGTGGAGGGAGGCCTGGGGGGGAGGTACCCCCGTCTGGGGCTGAGAGAACAAAGAGAGTGGCTCAGAGGCCCCGCCAGAGACCCCCCCAGCCCCGAGCTGCTCTGAGGACATCGCACAGGGCCTCCTCCTTCCAGGGCAACTCAGCAGAAGCCCATGGGGGAGACGGAGAAGGGCCAGGAGGCCCGGGGCCTGGCCCCTTGGGGGCTCTACCCACATCCACCGACCCAGCCAGCCTCCCTTCCCCGGAGGTAAGGGCCGCAGGGTCAGGGCCCAGGACCGAGGGCTCTACCTGTCCCAGCCCTGAATCTCACCGGAGGGGGGTTGAGGAGGAGGCTCCGCAGCTGGGGGTTGGCCCCAGGGTTCTGGGGCCGCAGGATGGGTCCGGGAGGGGGTGGGCCAGGGGCTGCTCCAGGAGGGCCTTGGGGGCCGCCTGGGGGCGCCTGGGCAGCACTTTGGGGCTGGGGCTGCCCTGAAGCTGCAGAGGCCCCCACGGTGCCCTGAGGCTGGGGCTGCGGTGGGCGGAGCTGGAGCTGGTGGGAGAGACAGGGGTGAGGGGGTGGCTCCCGGGCCCCCTGACCTCCAAGATGGGGTTACGATGGCTGCGTCCTTTGGGGTCTCTCCCGCCCTGGCCCTGTCCTCACCAGATTCTGTGAGGGCCTCGTCTGGTCCTCCAGAATGGGGCCCAGGCCAGGGGGTGCCTGCTGTGCCCCCATCTGCATGGGAAGAGAGAGCAAGCAGGTCAGTGATGGCTGCAGAGGGGTCCCTGTATCAGGGAGGCCCTGAGCCCCGGAGGGAAATCTGGAAGGAGCTGGAAACTTCCTTTGTGGGGTGGGTGGCCTGGGAAGGAAAAGCCCCAGTCCCGGGCCCCCCCAAGGGGCGGTGTCATGGAGATTTGACGAGGATGCCGAAGGGAAAGGTCACGAGGAAGTGTGGGGACGAGGCCTTCTGCCTCGGTGCACCCGACAAAGCTGGACAGGGCACCTGCAGCTCCGGGAGTCACTGAGGAAGCCTGCCCTGGGTTCTCTCCTGCCGTGGTGCTCAAACCGGTCGGTCTGACCAGAGCGACGGCCTCACCACCCAACACCGAGCCCCATCAGTCCGCAAAGGGTGGACGTAGCTGACGAAACGGCCACGACACCACCCACGCGGAGAGCTCGCGGGCTCTGGGCGCACAGCACGAACGTAGGACTTCAGGGGCAGGACTGAACTTGGTGACCACACCCCGGGAGCCCAGGGGCAGGGGTGCAGCATCACTCACCCCCCGCTGCTGCTGCTCCAGCTTCTGCTGCTGGACCTGCTTGTGGTTGGTGATGACCTGCCGGATGCCATTGACGAAGCCGCTCTGGTCGTAGGGGATGAGGCCCATGAAGATCTTCTTCTTGGACGAGTACAGCAGCATGAGCACGCGCACCTCGCACGGCGCCGTGTGCGGGAAGTGCACGCAGCCGGCCTGGGGGAGAACAAGTCACAGCATGGGCGGGCAGCCCAGCCCTCCTGGCCTAGGAGCCCGGGGTGGCAAGGCTTCTGTTGCCACAGGTGGACAGGGGAGGACACAGCAGAGGGGCAGAGCTCCCCAAGGGACCAGGGGAAGCTGGTTCTGCAGCGGGGAGAGCCGGCCAAGAGCATGAACCCAGTTCTCCAACCCTGACCCGCTGCACCCACCTTGTTGGCTCACCCTCCCCCAAGGGCTGCTGGGAGTGTTTGTGGCTGAGGGGAGGGGTCTGACATGGAGCTGGCACCCAAAAGTGGTGACCTAACTCGCAAGGGGGCCTATCTGCAGTGGGCGGCAGCGCCAACGTGGCTGGGCTGCATGTCCAGGGCATGTGCATCTGGCAGCGCCCTGCCCGTAGCCACAGGCACAGGGAGTGCCTGGGGAACATCAACAACCGACCGAGGCAGAGACCAGAAGGGTCACAACAGGGGCTCCCGACACCCTCCTCTTCTGCAGGGACAGCCCCTGCCGATTACCCACCCAGCACCCAGGTGCCGTCTGTCCTGCACACAGAACCCCAATTCTGCTCAGCCCAACGTACCCATGAGTGTCTGTTCCCTCATGGCCTCCCCTGCAGCTAGGGGTGACCCTGCAGCCTGGGAGATGAGGGGACCTGCCTGGGGCCATGGGAACAGCTACTCTCCCAAAGACCCATACTCACACGGCTGATGCCACGCTGCTGCCCGGCCAGGCCACCTCAGGCCGCGTGAGGTGCCCAGAACCGAGAGACTGTGTGAGTACAAGGGGCCATAGGGACACAGAGTGGGGCTAGCTGGCCAAGCCCAGGCCCCCACCTCTGGACAGAAGCTGGTACAAGGTGCCCTCCTGGACCAGGCTGTGAGGAGGCCGAGCCTCCGGGGTGGCAGCAGCAGCCCCCTACCCCCAGCACCAGCGCCTGCAAGGGGATCTCGACCCTGCAGCCCTGCGAGGCTTCAGCAGACCATGGCCTCGGCCTGAGGGCCACGCCACGAGTGGAAGTGAGGCTCGCCCAGCTGCGCCCAGTCAGCCCCAGGCTGTGAGAGGCAGTGAGGTGTCCTCAGAGGCCCCCCAACAATCACTGCTTTGCTCGGACAACTCTGCATGTGAGGTCATCACTCGCAGCTCAGGACTGGCTTCTCGGGAGGGCACTCTTGGGCGTTCCGTGAGGCGAGCCCCCCGGAAGTTCTGTGACACGAGCTGCCCCTCTCGAGAGGGTCTTGTCTGGCGAGGACAGGACCGTGTCCTCCAAGTGACGCCAGCGGCAACCCCCCACCACCCCGCACCTGTGGCCTTATTTGGAAACGGGGCTTGGCAGAGCAAACAGGCCGAGGCCACTGGAGCAGGCCCGAGTCCAGCGTGACCGGTGTCTGGATAAGGGGGACGCGGAGCCGCGGGGAGGCCGCTGAGGCTGGACAGGGAGGGAGCCCCTCTGCCTAAGCCCAAGGTCGGGGCTCCCAGCGGCCCTCGACACGGGGTCAGACTTCCTGCCCCAGAACTGCCCTCTGCCCAGGAAGAAAGGCCCCAGGTGAGCTGTGGCGCCCACGCGCCCTCCCAGCGGCTGCGGTCACACGTCAGCGGGGAACGAGCCGCCATTGGGGCACGTTAAAGCCGCGGCCAGAGTTCAAGCTCTAGGAGGAAGCCGAGGGGCCCAAGGTCCCCAGGCGCACCCCGCCCCACACAGCGCTCAGGCCCATCGCCCCGGGGTGCCTGGAGAAGGCCTGCGAAAGGGAGGACAGGGCCGGCACCCGGGCCGCGCGGCGCCCAGGACTCACGAAGCCGTTGCCCATGATGCGGTAGAGGCCCTTGAGCGACTCCAGGTCCTTGTTGGTGAAGTGGAACTGGACCATCCTCGAGTTCCGGAACAGGGGGCCCAGGGTGGTCTGGGGGAGACACCGGAGGGGCGAGCTGGGTGAGGCGGAGCCAGCAGGTGGGAGCGCGCAGCGCAGGGGCGAGAGGTGCACCGAGCCCACCCCCTCCCCCCGGCTCACCAGCAGCTGCTGCGGGATGAGCTGCATGATCAGCTTCTGGGGCCACTGCTCCGTCTTCCTGGGGGTGGTGGGAGAGGGATGGGTGTTGGGAGGATGGGAACCCCAGCCCGCCCCACTAGCCCGCCCCCCGGGCACCTACAGGTTCTCGCCGTGGTTCACATAGACCTGGCAGGGCAGGGACCGGGTCAGCTTGGTGTTGGCATCCACGGAGGCGGGCTTGGGCTTCTGAGGCGGAGACAAGGGTGTGTCCCTGCACCCCCCACCCCGCCTGCCCCCACTGCCCCAGTTCAAGTCCCCCCAGCCCTGGGCGTCTCCCTCCAGACCACCAATCCCACAATTCTCGGGCTTTCCAATTCTACTGTTGGGGGTCTTCCCCTTGGAGGGTCCTCCCCAATCCGCGACCCTCTGTCCTTCGGAAGCCACGAAGCTCGGACCCCTCTGACCCTGAATCTGAGCCTCCCGGGCGGCTCGAGCCACTCACCTCCTGCCACTCGAGGACCCCGCTCCAGGCCAGGAGCTTGTTGGAGACTGACTGCTGCCCCCCGAGGGCTGGGGCCCCTAGCTGGGCTGGGGACGGCCCACTCACCCCTCCTGCGGCCACCGTGCCCGTCTGTGGGGGAGGAGGGGCAACAGGATGGGGGTCAGACCTGTGCCGAGGGGCTGTCCAGATCCCCACTCCATCGGCCGCCAGCCTGTGGGACCCGACACCCGCCAGGATCCCTTGGGCTCCTCAGAAGGGCGGCCCCCGCCAGGCCACGGGCCACATGCAGTCCCCAGACGCGCTCGTCTCAGCGCCGGCACAACACAGGGCCTGTGGCCTCAGCCCTCGTGGGGACGGCAATTCTGTCCCCTGCACCTCAGCCCGGGGCTCTGGCAGGCGGCAGGCTGGGAGGCGGGTTGATACGTACCATGGGTGGCGCCCCAGGCTGCGACGGGGGAGCCAGGCCTGGGCCAGGGGCCACTGTGGAGACCAGACTGGGCTGGGATGCAGGGGGCGGCTTAGGGGCACCCGGGGGTCCAGGGGTCAGCTGGGGAGTTGCAGCCTGGCTGAAGGGGGGCCCCACCCCTGACGCGGCTTGCTGGAGGGGGTTGATGGGCGAGACTGCAGGAGAAGACAGGAAAGAGGTGGGAACAAACAGGTGTGAGGCGCGCGGAGGGAGGCCCGGCCAGCCCGACCCCCGCGGCCTCGCCCGGCACTCACAGCGCGGGCCCAGCCCAGCCTTCTGGTTCTTGGCAGCCTCCACCGCGTTCTGGGCCGCCACCTGCGCTGCGCTCAGGTTCCCTGGCACCTGGGGGGGTGGGGAGGGCAGGGCTGGTGACGCTCATGCACCCCAGTCTTGGGGTCACACAAAGTCATGCCAGCCACACATCCACAGGGCAAAGCCACTCCTTGGGCGTAGTTGCGATTCCCAATTCCAGAGACCCACCCCCTGATGTTCACCCCCAGGGAGATGCCCATCACCCCCTAGGCCAAAGCTCCAATGAGCTCTCTCCCGAGCAGCCCAGGCTCCTGTGGGGCCCCCGGAGCTCCCATACCTGGTACTGCTGGGGGACGGGAGGCAGAGGCTGCTGGGGGGCTGCTGAGAGCGTGGCACCCGAGGGTGGAGCTGGAGGCAGAGGGACAGGCTGCTTTGGCTGGAGGGGACCTGGGGCTGAGCCACCCCCGACTGAGTCAAGGAGGAGCCCCACGAGAAGCGGCATGAGAGGGGAAGGGAGAGAATCCAAGTTAGAGGGAGTCGGGGAGAACCCCCCGATCTCCCGCCCGCGCGCAGGCCTCACCTGGCAGCACGAGCCCCCGCACCAGCACCATGTGCCTCGGGTCCTGGCTCACGTCCGAGGGCGGCTGCAGCGGCTCCAACAAGGCTGGGGGCGCTGCCTTCTCAAACAGAAGCCGCAGGGCCGGCAGCTTGCGGGGGGACACAATGGAGAAGTGGATCCCCTGCTGCAGGAGGAGGGGGACGAGCAGTCAGGACATGGCCACGGGGCCGACCCTGGGCAACGGCCCCTGCTGGGGAGCTGGACGGCCCAGCCCTAAAACCAAGCTCCCAGCAGGTTCTGGGACCGGGGGCTGCTGGCCCCAGCACCAGCTGCCCCAGAGGATCCTGGGAGTCAACAGGGTTCGCACCAACTGTGCAACTCATCTGTTTTCTAGGAGCCCCACCCCCAGGCCCTCTGCCCTCAGGCTAGGGGTGCTCACCTCCCCTATCTTCTGCACGAGACTCTCCGTGGTGTACCCCGAGTAGGTGGTGCTCTCGACGGCAGGCAGCAGGTACGGGGGCGAGTTGCAGATAAGGAGACAGACGCGGTGCGTCTGGCCACTGCCAGGGACAAGGAAAGATGTGCAGTGGGTAGCGCAGGGGCCCTCCTCCAGCATCAAAAATTGGGTGGCAAGCCCTCTGCCCCAGAAGAAATCAGTAGTAGCCCCCCTCCCCCCAGTGTGGGAGCTCCCTGACTTGCTTGGGGTCCCAGGAGGCGGCCCAGAGCTGACTCCCTCTCCCAATGAGGAGACCAGACATTGGCTGATGGGGTCACAGACAGACCAAACACGTCACCCCAGCTGGAAAGAGACCCCCCATGGGGGTCACACCCAGGGCACACTCACATCTGCTCCCGCATCTTCTTGAAGTCGTCAAACAGCTGCAGGGCTGTGCTGAGGCCTTCGGCGATGAGGCTGCAGCTCTCGCCACCCCCGCCCATGAACCTGCAGGGGCCAGGTGGTCAGCCCTGGGTCCACAGGGCCACCCCACCTCCACGGGGTGGGGAGAGGCCCAGTGCCCCTCTTCCCCCCGCTATCAGAACCAGCTCGCCAGCTTCCGAGCTCCTCGGGTTTCCCCATTTGCAGACATGGGGTGTGGCATGCGCAAGGCCTTGACTTAGGCGCCGCTGTTGCCACCAGGAAAGGCTGTGCGGTGGTCAGCCTGACCCTGCCACAAGGGACACCTGTGGAGATGGGCCCCCTGGTCCTCTGCATGTGTGCACCCGCCTCCCCTACAAGCAGGGTTGGGGGCTGAGTCCTCTCTGCCCCCTTCCCCTATCTGCCCTCAGTCGGGCACCGGGGAGAAAGGCTAGGCCCGCTGGCGGCCAGCTGATCAGGAGTGGTGGCACGTCCATGCCGGAACACCGCTCAGACGTGAGACGCAGCGCTTGGTGGCAAGATGCAAGCAGCTTGTGGGAGTGGCGTGGGGGGAAGCAGGTCAGACCACATGAGCATTGGACACCGACAGGGCAGATTCGACAAGCACGCGCGGGCAGACACGGCTAAGCCAAGGGAGGTGTCTGAGGCTCGAAGGGGGACAGAGAAAGGGGCAGTGACTGCGAGGGGCGGTGTGAGGAAGCAGGAATGGCGACTCATCCAAGCCATCCACCGAGGCCAGAACAAAGCCCTCAGCCAGGCGTCCAGGGGACCCCTCCTAGGACCCTATTTTGGGGACAAGCCCACCAGAGCAGCTCCCCTGTCCCTGGTTATCATCACCTGCACAAATCCAGGCCTCTGCACGTCCTGTCTGGCCACACTGAACCCCACTTCCAGCCCAGGGGGATACCTTGCTCACCTAGCCTCTAGCCCTCCTGGGACGAAGCCCCATATCCCCTCCTCCGGGAAGCCTTCCCGCCTGCCATCTGTCTCAGGGCCCACACTCCAACAACTTACATGTCCCCTGACAAGCACACAGCCGGCTCCCCTTCACAGCCCACTGGCCCCCACAGCAAGGGCGGCCAAGTCGTCTGAGCCACCGCAGGACATGTCCCGGTGCCCGAGGACAGAGGGCAACACCTGCTGCAGGAGCGGGCGGGGGCCCACTGGTTTCTTCCCAGCTGCAGGCATCCGCCGCGGCTCCCACCCACCCCATGAGTTCACTTGTGAGCCCCAAACCTGCCTTTTCCCTCAGGACACCCCCTATCTACCACACTCTCAGGCCACCCCCCACTTCCTCACATGCAGAGTTTTCTGCCCAGGAATCTTAAGGCCAAGAACTGGAGGGCAGAGCCGGATGGATGACCCAGCCCTGGATCCTCCCTGCCGCCAGCGTCCAGTCCCACAAAAAAATCAAACCTCTCCTCATGGGTCTGAGACCAGAGGTAAAAGCACCCTGGCTGGGGGCCGGGGCCTGAGCGGGCTGCGGAACGGGGGGCAGTTGCTTCACATGGTGGAGTCTTGTGTGTTCTAGAACTAGCTAGAGGTGGTGCCGGCACAACACAGGGAGTGCACAAGAGGCTGGTGAATTGTCTGCTCAAGCGTGTTAGTCGCGTCAGGTAAATTTCACCTTGGTTTTTACATAGCAATTGAGGAAAAGTGTGATCTGCGGACCACGCTGAGCCCCTAAAACTTTTTTTTTTTTAACTGAACCCTGAACATGAACCATTGGCTGAGCTCAGAGGGGGCCTTGGACAAGCCCTGTCTGAGAAAGGAGAAAAACTTCAAAGTGGGGGCCTCCCCAGTGGCGCAGTGGTTGAGCGCTGGGTTGCGAAGCTGCCCGCGGCCTCTGCAGCGCCGGTTCCATCCCCGGCTGCTCCCCGGACACGGGAGGAGGGTCCCGCATGGCGCGCAGACCTCTCCTGCCGCCCGCTGCTCCCCTCAGCAGTGTACTTCATCGTCTGCCTCTTCTGCTCCCCGCTCTGGCTCTGGTGAATTCTCTCACCCTCCCGCGCTTGACTGCACCCAGTGCTTGTATAAATAATAAATCTTAAAAAAAAAAAAAAAAAAAACAACCTCCAAAGTGGGATGTGGGGGAGAAAACACGGCTGGTGGCAAAGCACGTCTTAAGTCCCATAAGGTTTAGGATACACCTTCGCTCCAGACAAGCCCCTTCACATGGTCACCGGCAAATGAAACCCCACGTTTGCCCACCAGCTAAATGGTCCGCCTCAAGTCTCAGCGCCCACTTTCCCTGGCAAATTGGTCCCAGGAGGCCCCAGGGGGCCCTGTCAGAGTGAATGAGTGTGAAGAGCAGCCAGCTGTGGCTGAGGACTCCCACATGCCAGGCAACCCCTCGTCCCGCCCCACAAACACCAGCCCCAAGAAGGCCAGGCCTGGGCGGGCCTCAAGAACCCTGACTCCCCGGGGCCTGGGACAGTTTGCTCCTCAGACCACGGCGGAATGAATGAGCGAACAGATGAAAAGACTGTCCCTGGGTTGTGGGAGACACGGCCGCTCCTCCTGATGCGGGTCGGCGGCGCAGGAGCGCACGTGCAGCTTCAGACGGGAACCCAAGGACACTTCAAACAAGTGTCACACTGCTGGCTTTGTCCCTGGCTTAGGGATGTTTGAGAAGATAAGATTTTCTCCCAAGTGTGAACCGAACTTGCTAATTTTCTGCAGAATCTGTTACATTGCCACCCGGAAGGGCCCTGAAACTGCAATTATCTTATTATTTTTCTTTTTTTAGTGTAGAAAATCTGGGGTGTAGGTCAGAGGTGCAGGGACTGAGAGGATTCATCAGAGACAGAGTGGGGAACAGAACAGGCAGATCCACTGAAATCCACTGCTGAGGGGAGCAGCAGGGAGACAGGAGAGGTCTGCTGCGCCCTGTGGGTCAGCTCCCTGGCCGGGGATTGAACTCAGGTCATCAAGGTGGCAGCACTAATGGCACAGGCGGTTGAGCGCTGCACTGTGAAGCTGTCCACAGCCTCTGCAGTGTGGGTTTGATGCTGGCCAGCCGGCGAGAATCCCACATGGCACAGCAGACCTCTCCTGTCTCGCCTGCTGCTCCCCTCAGCAGTGTATTTCACTCCGTCTGCTGATCTGTTCCCCGCTCTGTCTCTGGTGAATCCTCTCACCCTTCCGCGCATCTAGCCTGTACCCCAATTCTTGTATAAATAAATAAATCTTTTTTTTTTTTTAATTTTTATTTATTTATTTATACAAGCACTGGGTACAGTCAGAAGCGCGGGTGGGTGAGAGAATTCACCAGAGCCAGAGCGGGGAGCAGAGCAGGCAGAAGGACCAAAGCACACTGCTGAGGGGAGCAGCGGGCGGCAGGAGAGGTCTGCGTGCCATGTGGGACCCTCCCTCAGGTGGCTGGGGAGCAGCCGGGGATCAAACCGGCGCTGCAGAGGCTGCAGGCAGCTTCACAGCCCGGCGCTCAACCGCTGCGCCACCAGGGGAGGCCCTAAATAAATAAATCTTAAAAAAAAAAAAGTGACAGTGCTGAGCTTTAATTCCTAGGGCACTGGGGAGGCCCCCAGACACTGAACTAGGTGGTGACTAGGTGGTGACAGAGGCGCTGGAGGGATAATAAGGGCCGTGAATGCCAAATAATGGATCCAAATCCTCATGGGGCATGGCTTTCAGGAGCCCCCACCCCCCCAGCAGAGTACCGCATGCAATCTTCTTTGAGTAAAGACACATTATATTCTGTGGTGATTAGGAAACATGCAGGGGGCCTCCCTGGTGGCACAAGGGGTTAAGTACCGCACTATGAAGCAATTTGCAGCCTCTGCAACATGAGTTCGATCCCCGGCTGGCCAGGGAGCAACCCACATGGCGCAACAGACCTCTCCTGACTCGCCCGCTGCTCCCCTCAGCAGTGTATTTCAGTCAGTCTGCCTGTTCTGTTCCCCACTCTGTCTCTGGTGGATCTTCTCACCCCCCCCCATCTCTAGCTCTTGTATGCATAAATAAATAAATCTTTAAAGAAGGGAAAAGAAAAGAAAAGAAAAGAAAAGAAAAGAAAAGAAAAGAAAAGAAAAGAAACAGGCAGGGCTGAAAACACAATAAAGAGTTCAAAAAGTTTTTTGCTTACTTTTCCTAGAACTTCTAAAATAAGAGGGTTTAACTGCTTTTCTTGGTACTTGGTTTCTTAGTGATTTGGTTTCTTGGCAATTACCTTCCCCAAAGTTTACACCAGCTCATTTATTCCACCACCATATTCCTGAGGCGTCTTGCTAGACGGAAACACCCAGGCAGGAGAACCACCCCGGGGCCTGGACTTTCAGACCAGAGGTGTGGGCTGTTCCAGGGGACACCTGGGAGTAACAGGGGCAGAGGAGGGAGCAACTGGTTGCTTGCCAGAATCAGGAGGGACTCTGAGGTTGGGTCTTGATGGTTACACAGGAGTTTTCCTGGGAGAATCTGGACATTCATTCACTTATTCATTCAGCAAAGCTTTCTTTGGGTTTCATTTCTGGACTGGATGCGAAGTACTTGAGGGGTGTCAAACTTGGACTGGGGCTCAGAAAGCCCCACTGGCCTTGATACAAGTCTTAGCACAATCTAACCCAGCCGGTCTTGCGGCTTAGGCAACAGTCAACATTAGGAGATGTGTCACAACTTGGAGGGGAGGGCCCAACTACTGCCATCTGGTGGGGAGTGCGCAGGGATGCTACTGAACATCCCCCAGTGCCCAGGTTGGCCCCCCATTTCACCCCAAACAAGGAATGATCAGGCAGAAGCCTCAGTGGTGCAGAGGTTGAGAAACTACTTTATCCTGACCTTTCATTCCACAGATGCTCCAGGAGAAAGCAAACCTTGGCAGCGCGAATGTCGCCAGTGGCAGCCATGAGAGGGTGCCCTTCAATGTACTCTGATCAGCAGCCTCGGCTGCTACCCACTTGTAAACCAAACCCACCCCACAGCGAACACTTCCACAGCACTGAGACGCTGGTTTAAATGCACAGCCAGTCACCTCATCCCCAAGTTTCCCTAGGATGTCCCCGCAGCCAGGCCCCCGCCGACCCCCCACCTCCTCTTACTCATGCAGGCTTCACACACTGACCAGGACTGGCGTGTGCGCTAGACACAACGTGGCAGAAGGGACGGCATGTGACTTCCAATTTGATCATAAAAACCTTGGGGCTTCCTCTCTGCTCTCACTGTAGGGCTGCAGGGCCTGAGGAAAGCGCTGCCACACAGAGGGCACTCAAGAGCCGGAGGGAGGATCTGTGGCAAGCAGCCAACAGCCAGAGGGTAGCCACCTGGGAGCTGGAACTCCTGGCCCAACCACACCCCAGTTACCCACAGGGTAACTGCTGCCAAAGATGACGTGAGAACTGCCAGAACCACCCAGCGATGCCTCTCCTGAGTTCTTTCCCCACAGAAAGGAAACTGCATGAGGTAAACCTCTAAGCTGCTAAGTCTGGGAGGAAGCTGACAGGCAGCGATGGCTGAGTCGCTGGATAACAACTACAGCGTGCTATTAATAGCCGGGCAGCAGCGATCAGCTACATGAGGAGGAGCAGCAAGGGCACCTGGGCCCGGGAGGTCCATCGTGGGCCAGCTGTGACTTGACCCTGGCTGGCTGGACCGACAAGAGCTTGCAATGTCGGATCAAGATCCGATCCAAGCAAGGATTGATCGTGGCCTTTCTCCACGACCCTTGAACACAGGCTTCAATGCCCCTGAGAGGGAGAAGGCGAGTTGGAGCAGAGATGTAGCACACAAAGGAGGGAATGACAGGGAGGAGGAGCCGGGTGCCTGCTCCAGGGACTCCTGGACGGAAAGTTTCTACCTCCAAACAGAATGGCAACCAGCCTCCAAGCACACTGAGCCACCACAGAGGGGCCGATGGGCAGTAGCAGCCCTCCTCATGGTCCTTTCTAGCACTCAAGGTGAGGGAAGGTTTTCAGGGCCTTGAACTTTACAAACCACCCGTTGCCCACCCTCCCCCACAGGGTCCCCAATCTGCCCGAGGGGGAAGGGAGCTCACTTAATGCCATCGAGCCAGGTGACAAACTCGTAGGCGCTGCTGGTTGGAGCGTGACACTGTACGTAGGACTCGGGAGCGCAGTCCACCGTGTTGAACACCACGAGGCTGTACTGGGTCCCTCCATACTGGGAGGGGAGGATGGATGAGCTTTGTAACTGGGATCCCAGCTCCCTCTTTCTGACAAGGAGTCGGGGGTCCCAGCTCCCCTCCCTCAGACCCGGGGGTGCAGACCCCCGAAACCCTCCCTCAGACCCGGGGGTCCAGCCCCCGGCCCCTCCCTCAGACCCTGGGGTCCAGCCCCAGAAACCCTCCCTCAGACCCGGGGGTCCAGCCCCCGAACCCCTCCCTCAGACCCGGGGGTCCAGCCCCCTGCCCCTCCCTCAGACCCTGGGGTCCAGCCCCCGAAACCCTCCCTCAGACCCGGGGGTCCAGCCCCCGAACCCCTCCCTCAGACCCGGGGGTCCAGCCCCCGAAACCCTCCCTCAGACCCTGGGGTCCAGCCCCCGGCCCCTCCCTCAGACCCTGGGGTCCAGCCCCGAAACCCTCCCTCAGACCCGGGGGTCCAGCCCCCGAAACCCTCCCTCAGACCCGGGGGTCCAGCCCCCGGCCCCTCCCTCAGACCCTGGGGTCCAGCCCCCGGCCCCTCCCTCAGACCTGGGGGTCCAGCCCCCGGCCCCTCCCTCAGACCCTGGGGTCCAGCCCCGAAACCCTCCCTCAGACCCGGGGGTCCAGCCCCCGGCCCCTCCCTCAGACGCGCGGGGGCAGGCCCAGGGCCCCTCCCTCAGCCTCAAGAGTCCCGAGACTCACGTCTCCCCCGAAGTCCGTCTCGGCAGGAGGACCACCGTTAAAGTACCTGTAACGGCAGGAGGAGCAAGGTCGGGCCGGGCGGGAGGCCCGAGAAAGCGACCGCGGAGGGCGTGGTGGGAGCCGGGAACGGCACTCACTCGATGGCCGGCAGCAGGTAGTGCTTGCGGAGGGCCTCGAAGTAGGGCCCCAAGTTGGCCGTGCCCTCGATCACAAACACCACGTCAGCCACGAGACCCCCGGCGCGGGCCGGGCCCTCCGACCCGGGGACCATACCCCGAGAGGCGCCCGCCACCACCGCGGCCGCCACCGCCGCTGCGGCCACCGCGGAAGAAGCGCAGCGGCGCCTGCGCAGTGCACGCAGCCGCGCGGGGCCGCCTCGCGCCGCCGCCGACGCGCCCGCCGCCATGTTTGTGCGGGGCGCCCGGGCCCGTTGGGCTCTAGCTCTGTGCTCGTTCGCACCCAGAGCGTGAAAGTCCCGGAGGGGGCACAGGGATTCCCCCTCGGGGACCTGATGTGGAAAATGGAATTATTAGCAGCACCGACGAGAGGGAAATAGATTGCAAACTGCTGGGTCGGCCGCCATCTTTGAGCGTGGCACGCGTTTCCGACTCTCGTCTCCCAGGGAGGGTCGGGGCACCCAGTTGCTATGCAACGTGTACGCGGCCCTTGTTTTCCAACAAGACAGATTAAGTTTCTAGGGATAGTCTTTCTGGCAAGGGGGAGGGTCGTGGGAAGGGTCCAATCACAGCGTCCGAGACTGGGTAACTAGGCAACGCATCAGGGTTGCAGTCAACTCCGAAAGGGGCGCAGCTGGTTTTTTTCCTCGCCCCCCCCCCCAAAGAAGCCGAATTCCAGCCCCAGTGGAGGTTGCTAGGCAACACCTGATCGTTGTTTTCTGGGAGAGGGGCCAAAACTGGCCCAGAACGTAAATTCCAGGTGGTTTAAATGTAAATGCGACCGATGACACCATAAAAAAGAAACACATCCAGGAACTCTGAAAACTGGAAAACGACTTGCTACCATTGCAGCCTAACCGGAAAAACTTAAAATATCGGTCAATTTGTGCTCCCTAAACCTCATGAAGCCCAGTTTTCTTTTCTTTTGTTTTGGGACGGAGATAAACCAGGGAAGTCACTGTAACATTTGTTGACAGAAATGTCCTACGCAAATACGTCTTTCCGATCCATTCAAATTTTAGGAATTTTAAATACTTTATTATTTTTTACCGTGAAGGGATCTGAGCAGCTTCCCCCCGACACGCAAACTTTTAAATGACAAACGTCTGAAAACTCTTTATATTAATAAGTGCTAACAGCATGTCCAACGCCACCGCATTTTATCTTTGTGATGTTAATTTATACTGAAAAGAATAGTGTTCTCAAGGATGGGAGGGGTTTGGGTGAAATGAACAGGTTCAGACACAATTAGTGGGGGGCATAAAATAGGATAACTTTCTCCATTGCAGTTTGAGAATAAATTTCAAGGTAACAGAGGGCACTGTCTCCACACAGCCGAATCACAGTTTTGTCATGTTAACTCTTCCACCCCTTTTTTTCTTTTGTTTTCTTTTCTGAACCTTTTACGACAAACCCCTCACATATCATTTTACCTCTCTGTATGCTTGGCAGTCATCTCTAAAAACCTAAGGACATTTCTTAACATATCACTAGGTCATTATCTCCTCTAAATTTTTTTTTTTCTGGGTATCATCTAACACTAAATCAATAATCAGGACCTCGTCGGTGGCGCAGCGGATTGAGCACAGCTCTGTGGAGCTGTCTGTGGCCTCTGCGACGCTGGTTCGATTCCCGGCCGGCCTGGGAGATACCCACACAGCGCAACAGACCTCTCCTCTCTGGCCTGCTGCTCCCCACAGCAGTGTATTTCAGTCAGTCGGCCTGTTCTGTTCCCCACTCTGTCTCTGGTGAATCCTCTCACACACACCCCCCCCCCCCCTGCATCTGGCCTGTACTGTAAGATATTGAAGGACTAAACATAGCAAGACAGCAGCCATTTTAAGGAAGAGGACCATTTTGAAGAGCACAGCTGAGCCCAAGTTTCGTTTCAGGGTAAAACCACAACTTCCACAAGGCAAGGATAAACAAAACTTAAAGGTTGCCAAAGAAAGATACACAATCAGATTGAACTTGGTCCCTGTTGTGAAAGGTCCCCTTTTTCTGATATGAAAGGTCCCCTTTTTCTGCTGTCAACAGAGTATAAAAAACAGCTTGTCACCCTTAAAGGGGTCCTTCTCTCAACCTGATGAGACTGCAGAGTCGGAGCCTAGCTTAAGCTAGCAATAAAGCCTTTTTGCTTTTGCATCTCTGGCTCCCTGTAGTTTTTGGGAACCCTGGACGGAGTTGAGGCGCCAACTCCTAACAGTACCCCGGTTCTTGTATAAATAAATAAATCTTTTAAAAAAATAAAGTTTAGGGCCTCCCCGATGGCGCAGCGGTTGAGCGCTGGGTTGCAAAGCTGCCCTCAGCCTCTGCAGTGCTGGTTCTATCCCCGGCTGCTCCCCGGCCACCGGAGGAGGGTCCCGCATGGCGCACAGACCTCTCCTGCCACCCGCTGATCCCCTCAGCAGTGTACTTCGGTCCTTCTGCCTGCTCTGCTCCCCGCTCTGGCTCTGGTGAATTTTCTCACCCTCCCGCGCTTCTGACTGTACCTAGCTTGTATAAATAAATAAATAAATCTTTAAAAAAAATAAACTTTTAAAAATTTAAAAATATATAATCAAATTTCCCCAGTTGTCCCAAAATGTTTTCCAGTTGTTTTACTTGAATCAAGATCCAAAGACTACACAGGCAGATTTAAACATCATATCTTGGGGCCTCCCTGGTGGTACTGCGGTTGAGCGCTGGGTTGCGAAGCTGCCCGCAGCCTCTGCAGTGCCTGTTCGATCCCCGGCTGCTCCCCGGCCACTGGAGGAGGGTCCCACATGGCGCGCAGACCTCTCCTGCCGCCCGCTGCTCCCCTCAGCAGTGTCCTTCGGTCCTTCTGCCTGCTCTGCTCCCCGCTCTGGCTCTGGTGGATTCTCTCACCCTCCCGCACTTGTGACTGTACCCAGTGCTTGTATAAATAAATAAATACTAATAAAATAAAATAAATCTTAAAAAAAAGACACGTACAATGCTTAAAAAAAAAATAAACATCATATCTCTTAGACTTGTTCTAATCTAAACCAGTCCCACCCTTTTCTATGCCCATGTAAATAACTTTGTAATCAAACTGTAGAGGAAATCAGAGAACAGAAAAATGATCAACAGGTAAGATTAAAATGGTACATAACATTATAATCTGCCCTGTTAACCATGAAAGGCAGATTAAATAAGGAAACTTGTTTCAGATAAGTTGAATGTACTATAGTTGTATTAACTGATAATTAACCATTTCCACTAATGTATTACAAAAGGTAAGCAGTTAGATTTTTAGAGGGAACTCCAGTTTCTGGCATTATTACTATTTCATAGTGGTGCGTCTTAACCTTTTGCGCCACCAGGGAGGCCCCTTTACCATTATTTTTCTTTATCATGTATTAGTAATGTTATAGAGCAACCCCGATATTAAACGGGTTCCTGGCTGTGGGTCCTCACCCGCGCGCTTTAAAGGGACTTATGAATACTCTACTACAGACACACGCAAAAGGGTTAATAAAAGGTTTATTTACAAGAGAAAAAGAAATAAGGAAAATATACAACTCAGGGAGAAAATAGGGAAATAAAGTCTTTAATGCGTCCTACCCGATCCGACGACCTGGAAACCCAAAGTCACTCTCAGAGCTGGACGCTGCGAGCTGGCGGAGAGCCAAAAATGGAGAGCCCCCCCCAAAGCCCACGTGTCTGCCTTTTGTACATAAGTTGAACCATTTTAACATTTTTTCCCTGTGATTTTGATATATTTGCTATCTTGTTTTAGCCAATGCTCCAAATTTTTTCTTTTGGCTTGCATAATGGACTATTTTTAAGTAATAAAACTCATACTGGACATTCATGGACAATGCTGCTGACTAATTGTTGCTTCTCTTACACACATTGTAACCCTGAAAAAAGACTGTCTCCTAAGATTACACCCTGAGATCTGTGCCACCATAGATATGGTGGAATAAAAATTAAAAGGGGGGATTGTAACAGGGTGGTCCCCAGGAAAGGGGGAGGTTCCCTGCCCCTCTCAAGGGAGGGTGGAGCTGAGCAGGAAGAGGAGAAGCGGCAGAAGAGACTGAGGAAGGAAGGAAGCAGGATGGAGCCTGGAGACCTGGAGGAGGCGCATGGAGCCTAGAGACACGTGAAGAAACTGCGCTTGTCTTTTGGTTGTGGACGGGGTGACACAGATGTGGGTGAGACCCGTGGGGAGGTGACAGTGGCAGCTTTTATCTTGATGATGATTTTGCTCTTTTCCTTCCGGGCTTGTCTGGTTGTTTCTGACACTTTTCTGTGGGTCCCCACTGGAAGGTGCTTTAGACTCATGGCAGGCTTTGGGGCCTTGCTCTGGGCCAATCCCATTTGGATGGACTTTTACCCACGAGGGGACGGGTAACTCTGGATGCTTCACTTAGAAACTAGACTCTTTGCCTTACCTGTATTGTTTCCTAGTTTTATTAAAGTTCCTTCCCATTAAAGTCTCCTATGTTTTGTGTTGATGCGGCGGATGGCAGAACCCATGTAGAATAGGCAGGTTTGCGGGGTTTGGGCTGCCCCTCTCCCTGCCCTATAACAGTAATAGAGTCCAGAATGCAAGCAAAACATGTTTTCAAAGGAACAGGTGTTTAAAATATTACTATGTATTTTGAAAATGTTTGGATGGAGGAAGGCAACTGTTCTCAAAAAAGAGAAAGAGATTCACGTGGTTCAAATGATAACCAAAGAACCTTTTTACTTTATCATTTTTAACACACACACACACACATCCCAGAGAGAACCCAATCTATGCCAATACAGGGTTGATGAAATCCATCCTGTTATATCCATAATGCAGATTATGGATGGTGTAGATTTACATCGTTCGATGAAGAAAAGAAAGTTTGAAAATAGCGTTGGCGCAATGATCAAATTTGCGAAAACACGTATAAATATTCGGGAATACGCTGCCAACTTTTCGTTTGAGGAAAAAGCTTTTGGGAAGTGTATTTACACATTCTGCATGGTACAGCATCACGTATAAATTTATTACAAAAATATCATTATCATGATTGTGGAAAATAAAGACTGTCCTCTTTTTCTGGTAACAAAAAAACCATCGCCGAGCGTGGTTACTAGGCAACGCTCGCGGGACCAAACCATCCTCGAGGTTGAAGGGGGAGGTCGTGTTTTTTTCTCAATTTCCCTCTAAGTAAGGGAGTCGGAACTTCGCCTGCGGCCATTTTTGAGCGGGTCACTGCTGTGTTCAGCCTCGGACTAGACATTGTCCCGTCCAATGGTGGTTGCTAGGCAACGCAACGGCTGCGGCGCCATCTTTGAGCCGGGCAAAGTGTTTATTATAAAATGTGGCTCTGGGGTGGAATTTGGTTTCTAGGCAACGCTTCGGCACCCTCGCCATTTTTGAACGGGACACAGTTGTTTACCAATTTAGAATGTAAAGCGGCGTACCCTCCGTGACGGTTTCTAGGCAACGCCCTGGCACATTCACCCACTTCTGTCCGTCCTCTTCGTTCTCTTCGTTAATACATGGAATCAGAACCCTTGAGGACGAGCTGCGAAGCTTTGCCCTTACAGCCGGCCGCCATCTTTGTTAAGGGTGTCGTGACTTCCTTCTGGGGCGGAAGAGGGCCTGGGGGCGGGGCTAGAATAGGGACTGAGGGTCTATTTGCGTTGGAAGAGGAAGGCGGGAATCGGATCCTCTTCCAGTCCCCTCCCCATTCTCGCCCTCTGGCGGCATCGGACTGCAGCTCGATTTAGTGGATCCATCGTCACGCTGCAAGGCCGACTCTGATCATCCCCACGTGGGGGACGTGGGGGGGGGTCCCAAATGGGGGAGGAGGGGGCTGAAGGCACCGTCCATCTGTTGTGCCTCACGGCCTCCAGTGGCGTCCCCCTGTTCTGCAGGAGCAGCCGCAGCGGCGCCGCCGCCCGCCAGCAGGTGGGGCCCTGAGTGCCTGGATCTCCGAATTTAGAAGGGAATTAGGGGCTTGGCTCTGGGTTGTAAAGGGAGTAGTGGGTGGCAGATGTTTTAGTGTTGTCTAGAGGGGGTGTAGTGAACCAGTAATTCTGGTTCCCTGAAGAGGAGGGCCCAGGCGATCTAGAAGGAGGGGGCTGGGACCCCACTTTTGGCCCCCAAGGGGGAGAGTTTTGGAGACTGCTGTCTAATGGCCTGAACCTTTCCCCAGCTCCCGTTCTCTGTCATCGGCTCCCTCAATGGAGTCCACATGTTTGGGCAGAATCTCGAGGTGCAGCTGAGCTCTGCGAGGACCGAGGACACCACCGTGGTGTGGAAAAGCTTCCATGACAGGTTTCCAAGCCGTAGCTTGTAGGGCCTGGGTCCCGGTGACAGTCCTAGCTGACGATGACCCCAGGGCCTTCAGTTCTCCGAGGCCAGCTGCTTATTTCTCGGCGGGATCTGTGACAAGCTAGTGACCCTCTCTGATCCCTGATTCTCCGTATCAGAGGCCGGCTGGGCTGGGGGAGACATCCGGATCAGGGACCACTCCGCTAGGCTGATTGCCCCGTTTCCATCCTTCCTTCTCACCTTCCATTCCCACAGCATCACCCTCATTGTCCTGTCATCTGAGGAGGGCACCTCGGAGCTGAGGCTGGAGAGACTACTCCAGATGGTTTTTGGGGCCATGGTGAGACTCCCCCACCTTTTTCCCAAACCCAGAAAATCAGCACCCTCCTCCCTAGGACTAGAGTCCAGACCCCCAACCCCTCCTCCTTCAGACCCAGGTGTCTGAGTCTCAGCCCCTTTTCTAAAACCAGCTGTGAAATGTCCTTGCTCTCCTATTGGGCTCTTCTAGGTTCTTCTCGTGGGGCTTGAAGAACTGACCAATATCCGCAATGTAGAGAGACTGAAGAAGGAGTTGAGGGTGAGGCTTCAGCCCATGAGAATGGGACATTGGGGTGCCTGGACACTGCCCCTCCCAGCAGCCCCTAGGACAGCCGCTTGACCTTGTTGTTTGTGGACAACTTGGTTTTGAGGGGACGCAGCAGATCTGGGTGTTAAGGGACACACCCAAATCCTAGGCACCTCCCTTCTTCCTCTGCTAGACCAGTTACCGCCTCATCGACAGCTTCCTGGGGGACCCAGAGCTCATCGGGGACCTGACTCAGTGTGTGGACTGCGTGGTTTCTCCAGAGGGGTCCCTCCTTCAGGTACTGGGGATGCCTTGGGAGCTCCTGAACCTGTCCCTCTGGCCCCAGTTCAGTCCTCATCCTCTTCCCCTCAACTGCCCCCCCCCCCGCATCTTTCATGCTCTTGGCTTCCATTTGGCCCCCAAGGATTACCCAAGCTGACCATGCCCGTCTGTGCACAGCCCTGCCACGGATTCCTTTGCCCCCTCCGCCTGGTGTTTGAGGACCCATGGAATCTGACACCCACCAACCCGCTTTCCTCTGCCCTGCTAACTCCATGATTCGCCTTTGCCAGCTACCTCAAGGGTCTCACTAATCCCAGCCACTTACCAGCCCTCCTGATTTTAGCACATGCTGTTCCCTCAGCCTTTCCCTAAACACCACTTGGTGATTCCCTTGGCCTGGCCCCAAGCATCACTCTCAGCAAGTGACTTGAGCTCTGAGCTGGAGTAGGTCGTGATGAGCCTACCTGGCGCGTAGTGGGTCTCAATGAGCCCAAGCTGCAGCGAGGTAGCAGACACCTTACCTGTGCATTTTACTTCACAGTGGGGCTTGGGGGAGCGTGCCCGTGTGAAGATGCAAGAACCCCCTCCCCGAGAGGGTGAGCCTGTTACCTAGGCAAGCTCTGAACCCGCTGCCCTCTCTCCCGCCTCCCTCGCCCAGGAAGCTCTCTCGGGCTTCGCGGAGGCAGCTGGCACGGCCTTCGTCAGCCTGGTCGTATCGGGCCGGGTGGTGGCGGCAACGGAAAGCTGGTGGCGGCTGGGGACGCCAGAGGCCGTGCTGCTTCCCTGGCTGGTGGGGTCCCTGCCGCCGCAGGCCGCCCGCGACTACCCGGTGTACCTGCCACACGGGAGCCCGACGGTGAGTGGGTGGGGCCGGCCGCGGGGGCGGGGCCTGGCGAGCAGGGGCGGGGCCTAGTCGCGGGGCGGGGCCTGGTGTGCAGGGGCGGGGCCGAGTTGCGGGGCGGGGCCTGGCGGGCAGGGGCGGGGCCGGGCCGCTGGGTGGGGCCCCTCGGGGCGGGCTCCAGCCACAGGGATCCGCGCTGGGCTTCAGGTGCCGCACCGGCTGCTCACCCTGACGCTGCTCCCGGGCTTGGAGCTGTGTCTGCTGTGCGGGCCGCGCCCTCCCCTCAGCCAGCTGGATCCACAGGTGACTCCGGGCTGCGTCCCGCTCGCCCCCGTCACCCCGGCCACCGCGACCCGGCCCTCAGCCGGCCCCGCCCCGCCGGCCACTGTCCGCTCCAATCCCCGTCACCCCGGCCCCGCGCCTCCTGCCGGGGGACCCCAGCCTTCGGGTCTCGCTGCCCGCCCAGCTCCCTCCGCCCTTGTCCTGTCGGTCCCGCCCCGCCCGCCTGGCCACCCCCCGCGGCGGCGCCCTCCGCTGACCGCGCCCCCCGCAGCTCCTGGACCGCTGGTGGCAGCCGCTGCTGGACCCGCTGCGGGCCTGCCTGCCGCTGGGGCCCCGAGCGCTGCCCGCAGGCTTCTCTCTCCACGCGGACATCCTCGGGTAGGGCTCGGAGCGGGCAGTGGCTTGGGGCGCCTTATCCCCTTCGCTGGCCCTGACGCCCCCTTCCCCCAGGCTGCTGCTGCTCCACCTGGAACTGAAGCGCTGCCTCTTCACCGTGGCGCCCTCGGGGGATAGAGGTGACTGGGGTGGGGGATGTGGCCGGGAGGGGCATGGGCTGTGGAGAGGCGCTGTCACCCTCTCTCCCTCTTCCAGAGCCTTCCCCTGAGCGGCGAAGGCGTCTCCTCCGCTCCTTCTACACCCTGGTGACCGCCACGCACTTCCCACCAGGTCAGTGGCGGGCACAGTGGCCCTCACCATGCACTGGCCACAGCGCTGCTTGAGCACTGGGTGTGGACACACGGGAAGGAAGGGGCGGGGAGGGGCAGCCTGCCGTTTCAGAACCTCCTGCTCACCCAGATCTTAACACCAACACCTCATCTTGGCGAGGTGCTTGTGTGTCACCACTCACTTCATCCTCCTGAGTGAAGGCACCTCCCGTGACAGCCTCATTCCCGCATCACAGGTGGGGAAACTGAGGCTCAGCTAACAGGCATCAGAGCCATGATTCAAACCCGTGTAGCCCATCTCACACATTGCGGGGGCGGTTCTGGGGACAATGTTAGGAAGGGAAAGCGTCAAAGAAACCAGCCCGCCCAGGGGCTGGGTGGAGCAACCATCCCAGTGAAGATCCTGGGAAGCCACAGAGAGCTCCCCTGGGCAGGGCTGGCCTTCCTGGCTGTCCCACCGCCGCCACAGGTCAAGTGGGCCAGGGCGCACAGGCAGGGTAAGGAGCTGAGCCTGGCCCCTAGCGGCTGGCGTGCAGCAAACATCAGTGCGTGTCTGCCTGCACTGCCGCATGGACCACCTGGGGCTGCACTCGGCACCCCCAGGAACCAGGGAGCCAAGCGAGAAGGTGCTGGGCTCATCTTCGGTCACATACAGGCAGGCACGTGAGCCGTGTGCCCATCAGGAGGCAGGGTTGTAGGCCCAAGGTGGAGTATGGCTTCCGTGGGCCAGTGTCATCGTTGTCTAGGCCTCAGTGGTCACCTCAGCCCTCCCGTCCTTCCTCCAGAGCCAGGGCCACCGGAGGAGAAGGCGGAAGACGCTGCCCAGCAGGCCCACGTGCCTCGAGCCTGCTACCTGGTGTCGGGGACAGAGGAGCCAGGCCTGGGGTGGCGGCTGGTGGCGCTCCAGGTGGGGCCACGGCGGCTGCTGCTGCTGCTGTCAGCCCAGAGCCCCATCCACGGGCTGCGGGGCCTGGCCACCCACACGCTGCACGCCCTCACGCCACTCCTCTGACACTGGCAGTGGACACGGGGCTGTTAGCGTCTCTGTTTATTCGCTCACAATAATACAAGACCCCCGGGCGGGGAGGAGGCGGGAGGGGCTACGACGAGTGGGGCAGGGTGGGAGGGGAGGAGGCACCTACTTCCCTGGTTCCTCTCCCCTCTGTGCTTGGGGGGGGAAGGGAGGGAGGGGGCTCCCCCTGACCCCCCAGAATGTAAACAGCAGCAGATGAACAAAAATAAAAATACAAAAGGCCGGAGGAAGGTCCCAGGCATCCCCCCACCCCTGGGGTCTTCCCTGTCACCAGTGGAGGTCCCCTCGCCGCCCCATCCAAAGCTGCCTCAGTCCTAGGGGCCGCCCGGCACCAGCCACACCCCGGGCAGAGTCCAGGGCTCAGAACTGCTGGGCCAACAGCTCACACAGGTGGCGGGAGACGGTCTCCTTGCTGGTGCGCAGGGTCAGCCTGTACATCTGGGGGGACACGGGGACAAAGGCTCAGGGAGGATGCCGCAGGGGATGGAAGATGAGAGGATGCAGGGACAGAAGGGGCGGGAGGGAGGAATGAAGGCGGCAGGGGCAGGAAAGAAGAAAGGACAGGAGCAGGGAGGGGCGCGCCAGGAAGGATGGGGGAGCCATAGGAGGGCGACAGGGCTTCTCAGGCCCCCACTCACCTGAGCCTGGGCATTGGGCTCCAGCCGGAGCAGACAGCCCACCTGCAGGGCTTTAGTCTGGATGATTCCAGCCCCCACGAAGTTCTCAGGGTTGGGGTCCACGTTGTCCAGAAGGGCAGAGCCAAATCCCAGGAGCTAGGGAGAAGGGGGTGGCAGTCAAAGGGCCAGCTCCACACCCGCACTGAAAACCCCTGGAGTGACAACTGCCCCGCTTTACAGATGGGAAAATAGAGACTCGGCAGTCAAGCAGCCAGTGCTCCCCAAAACCTAGAGGTAGGCAGGGCTGGGATCTAGCCCAGGGACACCTCTCTAGCCCAGGGACACCACATCACACTGCACCCCTTTTCTCACCTTGGCCTTGGTAACTTCTGAGTCCATGGGATGGTTGGCTTTGAAGATTTTCTGCGCCTCCTGTTGGGGGCTGGAAGCAGGGAGAGGTTGTGTTAGGGACCTGGATGCCCTGCCCCGCCCACCCCGGACCCCAGCCTCGGCTCTGCGCCCAGCCCCGCCGCTCACAGGCTCAGCTGCTTCCAGCGCTGGAAGAAGTCCTGGGCCGCCATCTCTGTGGGCTGGAAGAACTTGTTGATGGTCACCGGGAGCTTCAGGGTGATGGACTGGGGGGCACCCTCATACCTGGGGGAGAAGAAGGAGGGCTCAGGCCCCACCCCCACACAGAAGCCCCGCCCCACCGGCCGGTCCAGTGGACTCACCAGAAACGCACGGACAGGAGTGGGGGCGTCAGGAAGTCCCGCAGACACTCGATGTTGAGCACTTGCTGCACCTGCGCCCCGCCATACACCTGCGCCCCCACGCGCTTGGTCTGCACGGCCAGCTGTGCGCGCCTCGTCAAGGAAGGCAGAGAAATGGGGGGCGCGCCAGGGGTGCATATGGGGGCAAGTCTCAGCCCGCTGCGAGGCCCTGGTGGTTCAGAACACCCCAGCAGGCCTGGCCCTCCATCCCTGCCTCATCCCACAAGGCCAAGCTACAAAGTCCCTAAGCAAAACCTCTGCCCACCACTTAAGCACCCCCTCTGGCCTTCCGCAGGGGGCAGGGCAGGAGCCTGGCAGGGCACACATCACACTGCACCTAGAAGAGCGAGTCCACTGACTCTGAAGAGTGGGGACCCCAGCTCGCAGCGTGGGCGACTGGGCAAGCTCACCTAAAAAAATGGACCATGTCCCCTGCTGTGTGTCAGCGGGGCGGCCACACTAAGACAGTGCCTACCTGGAGGTCTGCAACCCCAGCGAGGCTTGCGGCCCTGCCCAGCACAACATGCGGCCCACAGGCCACCTCTGGAAATGCTGATGATGCAAGCAGGAAGGAGCAGGCCCACCATGTGTGGGGGTCTCAGCTGGCTAACCGCGCAGGTGTAGAAACCCGGGCCCGGCAGAGGGGGAGGGCGGGAGTGGCCCAGGCACGTCCTCTGTGCCAGTCAGGCTTGCCTTCCCACAGGGAGGAGGTGGAGCGCAGCAGAGGGCCTGGGCGGCCTCACCGGGGCAAGGTGACCAGCCCCGTCTACACAGAAGGTCCTGGCCAGCACCGAGACCCACAGGCCTGGCCCTCACAGGAGAAGCTGGACTGGGGGCCATGGAGGCCAATGAAGCACACGAGGTCAGGACCCAGGAGGGACAGCCTGGGGCTAACCCAGGCCTAGGGCAGGGGAGAACACCCCCACAGGCCTGTGACCACCGCCGCCATCCCTGTTCTGGGGGACAGAACGCACAGATGTGGCTGTGCCCGGCTCTCCAGCCAGGAAGCAGGACAAGGATCTGCACCCGGCAGACAGGAAGCAGACCCGCGGGGCAGGGCTGGGCCAGGCTGAGGATATGGGTCTGGAGGTCTCCAGGGTGGACAACGGTGGGTGAGAAGTTCTGGAACTGCATGGAAGTCTTGTTGCCATAGAAGAGATACATGCGGCCTGTGGGGGAGTGGGAGGCATGTCTCCACCCCAGTTCCTGAGCCCCCTCCCCTGCCGCCTCCCAAGTCCCCGTCCCCAGAGGACCCCGGGCGCACCCAAGTTCTGCCGGAACTCTGACTTGACTCCAATCTGCAGCAGCTGGTTCTCAAACAGGACCCCGTTGTTCTTGCAAACGAACCTGAGGGCAGTGGGGAGCTCAGGATATCAGGGGTGCCTGTCTGAGCCCTGTGCCATGCTCCCCGCCTAGCCCTACCCCGCCCCGCCTCTCCCGGGACTCACTTATTCAGCAGTTCATCGGCTTCGGGGATGGGGGGGCCGACATCCTCGGGACCTGGGCTGAAGGAGCAAAGCGGTGAGATGGGGGGTGGGGGGCTCAGCAGGCTAGAGACAAAGGCCAGAGCTAAGGGGGGGAGGCAGGAAGAACTGAAAGGAACCCCAGACACACACTCAGATTCCCCCAAAGAACCTCAGAGAAGCCAAGAATCAGACTGACAGTCGCCACCAACGGGAACAGGACCCTGGCAAGTCCGCTATCCCTGCCCCCCTGCATCAGAGGACCCCCAACTCTCACGCCTCTGCAGCTCATCAGGAACCCCTTGACGAGAGTTCCCAGTCCCCAAACCCTCCCTGGGGACATCAGAGTCTGCCCCCCAGCCCCGAGGCCGCCCCTTACTCAGCAGCTGGAGCCGGGTCAGCCAGCAAAGTCATGGGGCTCTCAGGGGCAGGCGGCTCCAGCTCGCTGGGCCGTCCAATCCCAGAGCAGACAAGAGAAGACAGGCGTGGCGGGCAGCCAATCCCAGAGAGGCAGCAAGAGGGCCGAAGAGAGAGACAGAGAGAGAGAGAGAGAGAGAGAGGGAAGAGGGAAGGAGAGAAGGGAGAGCAGGCTGAGACCCGGCGGCGGGAAGGACGACGAAGGGCGGCCAGGGTCAGCAGAGAGGCCAGAGCGGCCAGAGGGAGGGAGAGGCAGTGGCAGGGGACAGAGGACAGGGACAGGAGGGCGCAGTGAGTGGAGGGGCGGCCCGGGGCAGGGCCCGGGGCGGTTGGCACCTGAGGAAGGCCTCCTCTGGGGTGGGCCCCAGGCTGGGCTGGGCAGCAGGGCCATCGGAGAAGACGTCCACCAGCAGGTTCCCCGCACCCGAGGGAGCTGGGGGTGCGGCTGGGGGAGGGGCTGCCCGCAGCCCCAGGAGGTCAGCGGAGGGCGAGGGTGTCGACTGCAGGACAGGCAGGTGACAGTGAGAAAAGGTGAGGCCCCGGCCGGCCCGCCCCTGTGGCCGCCGGGGGCCTCACCACGGTGCTGGGGGTGGGCTCCACGCCCCCGTTGATGTCGTTGCTGCTGGGGTCCCTGCGGCCGTCATCCAGGGCGCTGCCGGCCCCGGGGCCCTTCTTGCGCTTCAGCTTGGCCAGGATGGACGACTCGCGCTCGGGGAAGGGCGGCATCTCCTCCAGCACCGTGGCCTGCGGGGCGGGCGGCAGCGGTCAGGGCACGGCCAGGCTGCGGCCAGGCGCGGGTGCGGCGGGGAGAGGTGCGGGGACGGAGCCTGACCAGGACGTCGGTGCTGGCCACCGAGCTGAGGGTGAGGTACTCGACGGCGCGCTGCTGCAGCTCCACGTCGGCGTTGCGCAGCTGGGAGCCGGCCCGCAGCACGCCCTGGATGGTGGCCTTGGTCTCGGGGAAGAGGTTGATGAACTTGATGTAGGTGGACAGCAGCAGGGCCCGTGTGGCGACGCTGCACAGGTGGAACTTGGAATGCAGCAGGGAGAACTGCACCGGGGGGCTGTGGGGGCAGGGGCGTCAGCGGGCAGCCCCACGGCCCCGGCCCCAGCAGACACGGTGCCGCCCTCGGAGGCCCCCGGGAGCCCTAGCCGACCCCGGGGCTGTGGGGGTCACCATGCCATGTCCCCCAGGCTCTAGGGAGCTGGGATGGTTGGTAACTAGTCGGGGTGGGGGTAAGGGTATTCCTTGGTGCCCCACCATCACCAGCCCAGTGATAACTGGGGTCCCCCAAACCCTGGACCCCTCAGAAGTGTGTGTTTACTCCTCACCTGGAGCGGGGGTCCCCAGCAATCAGGTTCCCAAACTCCCCAAGGATGTAGCCGCCGACTTTCACCATGTTCTCGTGGCAGGCTGGGGCCTGGAGCGCCTGGGGGACGGGGTGGGTGAAGCCTGGCTGAGGGGTGCTCGGGGCTGCCCAGCCCGCGACTCCTGTCACCATGTGGAAGGCTCAGACTATGAGGTGGTGGTTTATAGGTGGGGAAACCAAGGCACAGTGGCTGTGTGACTGGCATCTGCTCACGCTGGGAGTAAAATGGGTGGACAGACCCCCTTTTCTGGGGCAGAGGGAAAGGAGAGCTGCCGGGTTGGGGGCCAGTAACCAGTACTGGGCACCCCAACCAAGCCATGCAGCCCTCCCCTGGGAGGCCCAGGCCGGGCTCTGAGGAGAAGGAAGCAGGACAGTGGCAGGAGTGACCGGCCGCCCAGCGTGGGGGAGGGGTGCTGACCTCGAAGACAGTCTTGGCGGCGTAGCCCTGGACGTCGTCGCGGTTGGTGACGATCTGCAGCACGCGGTACCACACCTCCTCGCTCACGTAGTCGCCCGCGATGCGGATGAGGTTGAGGATGGTGTCCACGTACCAGCTGTAGTCCACGGCGTACTTCTCGGCCAGGATG